ATATATATATATATATATATATATATACACATACATACACACACATACACATATACACACACACAAACACACAGTATATATATAATTCTGTCTCTGAGCTCTTCAGGCAGTTCCTTTGACCTCATGATTCTCATTTGCTCTGACATGCACTGTGAGCTGTAAGGTCTTATATAGACAGGTGTGTGGCTTTCCTAATCAAGTCCAATCAGTATAATCAAACACAGCTGGACTCAAATGAAGGTGTAGAACCATCTCAAGGATGATCAGAAGAAATGGACAGCACCTGAGTTAAATATATGAGTGTCACAGCAAAGGGTCTGAATACTTAGGACCATGTGATATTTCAGTTTTTCTTTTTTAATAAATCTGCAAAAATGTCAACAATTCTGTGTTTTTCTGTCAATATGGGGTGCTGTGTGTACATTAATGAGGAAAAAAAATTAACTTAAATGATTTTAGCAAATGGCTGCAATATAACAAAGAGTGAAAAATTTAAGGGGGTCTGAATACTTTCCGTACCCACTGTAGATGTTTAACTAGTAGATCTGAAGTTTACAAAGCATTTCTGAATCCGGGAAGGTTAATTTTATGCACAAATTAATGGAACTTTTTTTCCCCTCATTTTTGGGCATTTATATCTTGCAGTTTGGAGTTTTTTATTTCGTAATCTTGAGTTTATAACTTGCAACTCTGAGGAAAAAAAGCTTAAATTGCAAGATAAAAAGTCAAAATTACCTTTTTTATTTTCTTTCCAATGGCAGAATCAAGCTTTCATAAAAATACCTAAAACTGAAAATTAAAAAATAAAAACTAATAAAAATGACAAAAACACACAAAGAAATTGCCAAAAATGTAACTAATTTAAAATGTTAATGAAAAAACTACAATAGGATCTCAGTGCTGCTAAAATGACACTGGTGTGTTTGTGTGTGTGTCTGGGTGTGTGTGTGTGTGTGTGTGCGCGCGCAGGTATGATTATAAAATCGCTCGCGAGTACAACTGGAACGTGAAGAACAAGGCCAGTAAAGGATACGAGGAGAACTACTTCTTCATCTTCAGAGACGGAGACGGAGTTTATTACAATGAGCTGGAGACCAGGTAACTGTCAATCACAAAGACGGCTCCGCCCACTCCGGCTCAGTGTGTGTTACTGACCGTGTGTGTGTGTGTGTGTGTGTGTGTGTGTGTTTTAGGGTGCGTCTGAGCAAGCGGCGAGCAAAGGTTGGCGCTCCGTCGTCTACGAACGCTGTGCTGGTGTGTAAACACAGAGACATGAACGAGAAGGAGCTGGAGGCTCAGGTCAGTTCACATCTCGCATCACAAACATCTGAGCTCAGATCAGATTACCTTTAAAACAGCAGATTGAGTTTATTTGCACAGAAGGGATTGATGTGGTGTGACCGCAGTCACTGATCTGTGTGTGTGTGTGTGTGTGTCTGATGGACAGGATGCTCGCAAGGCTCAGCTGGAGAATCACGAGCCCGAGGATGAAGAGGAGGAGCTGGACATGATGAAAGACCTGCAGGACTCTGGTAACACAAACACCTTTATATTATACACCTGTGTGTGTACGTGTGTGTTTAGTACAAAGCCTGTTGCTCACACCAGGAACAACAACGAACAAAGATTAGGGATGTCCCGATCAGGTTTTCTGTGCCCCGATCCGATACTTGAATGTTCCTATAGGAATGTATGTTTGGTGCACACTTCAAGTACATTAAAGTTATTAAAATCAATCCAACGTATGCAGAGTTGTGCGTAAAGAGTAAAAAGGCATTATGACAATGACGTCTCAGATAGTCTGTCGGCAGATAAAAGTAAACAATAAATGAGTGATCGTTACAAAAGTGCGCATCAAATACATTAAACACGGAAGTTCAAACGTGTGTGACGCGCTAGAACAGACCTCAGTGTTTCTTTGCACACATTTGAGCGACTTCTTTTGCTTTTAATGGAAGTTGGCGAACCCACTTAAAGGCGCATACTGCCACCTACTGCATGACAGCTGACGTAAAATAAGGATTGCTCTGAGGACATCTGATGCTCGGGACATCCCTAACAAAAATTATAATGTGAAGTTTTAATAATTGCTCTAATTCTAAGTGAATAGCAGAGTCGACACCTCAGCTATACCAATAACGGCTCAGAGGAACGATATCAGTGGAATCACTTTCACTTTCGATATTTATTTTTCCAAATGATGAACTATAAAAACATTGACAGCCAATCAGAGCTCAAACTTTTGAAGTGACATGACAAAACTGCGCTTAGAATAAACAGAACGTTATCATCCTTATACGTTACCGTAGTTATAGTTATCGCTATAGTTATCATCATAGTTATTGTTATCGTTATCATAGTTTTTGCTGTAGTTATTGTCAGTTACCATTATCAGAGTTATTGTTATACTTATCATTGTAGTTATCGTTAGTTATCGCTATAGCTACTGCCATAGTTATAGTTATCACTAAAGTTATCATAGCTATAGTTATCGTCATATAGTTATCATCATAGCTATTGCAATAGTTATCGCTATAGATACAGCAGTAGTTGTCATCAGTTATTGCTATCATCACAGTCATAGTGATCACTGTAGTTATAGTCATTGCTATTGCTATAGTTATCGTTAGTTATTTTCATAGCTATAGTATTATCATAGCTATGACTATAGGTATTGTTATAGTTATCATCATAGGTATCGCTATAGTTATCGTCATAGCTATCGTTATAATTATCATTATAGTTATCACTATATTTGTCATCATAGCTATCATTATATTTCTCATCATAGTTATCGCTATAGATTAAAGCTATAAGCTCCGTGAAGCCGTGGTTTACAGTGAATTTATAACAGCTATGGGGTGTTGTTAGGTACGACGCGAAGTGGAGTTAAACCCCCTTAGCTGTTATAAATTCACTGTAAACCATGGCTTCACGGAGCTTATTGCTTTTATAAAATGGTTATTCCATATACGTAGTAAGGTTTCACAAAATAAAACAGAGCAAATAAAGTGTAATGATATTAATAAAAACAGTATTCTTCCACCAAACAATGTAGCTCCTCAGAAACAGTTGTGGTTGCAACAAAGTGGTTGCTGAGCAACACACAGAAGTAAACAAAGGTGTATGTTACTTTGTAGAGTAATTTACAACAGCTTCGAACGCGGCTCAGCCAATCAGAATCAAGCACCGGAACGATCCGTTTTATAAATAACGATAGTTATCGTCGTCATAGTTATCGTTAGTTATTGTCATAGCTATAGTTTTCATCAAAGCTATCACTATAGGTATAGTCATAGTTATTGTTATAATTATCGTTATAGTTATCGTTATAGTTATCACTGTAGTTATCATAGCTATCACTATAGTTATCGTTATAGTTATCGTCATAGCTATTGTTACAATTATCGTTATAGTTATCACTAGTTATCATAGCTATCACTATAGTTATCGTTATAGTTATCGTCATAGCTATTGTTACAATTATCGTTATAGTTATCACTGTAGTTATCATATTGTTATAGTTATCATCATAGGTATCGCTATAGTTATCGTCATAGCTATCGTTATAATTATCATTATAGTTATCACTATAGTTGTCATCATAGCTATCATTATATTTCTCATCATAGTTATCGCTATAGATATAACGATAGTTATCGTCGTTATTGTCATAGCTATAGTTATCATCAAAGCTATCGCTATAGTTATCGTCATAGCTATCGTTATAATTATCATTATAGTTATCACTACAATTATCATAGCTATCACTATAGTTATCGTTATAATTCATCGTTATAGTTATCATCATAGCTATCACTATAGGTATCGTTATAGTTATCACTATAGTTGTCATCATAGCTATCATTATATTTCTCATCATAGTTATCGCTATAGATATAACGATAGTTATCGTCGTTATTGTCATAGCTATAGTTATCATCAAAGCTATCGCTATAGTTATCGTCATAGCTATCGTTATAATTATCATTATAGTTATCACTATATTTGTCATCATAGCTATCATTATATTTCTCGTCATAGTTATCGCTATAGATTAAAGCTATAAGCTCTGTGAAGCCGTGGTTTACAGTGAATTTATAACAGCTAAGGGGCGTTGTTAGGTACGACGCGAAGCGGAGTTAAACCCCCTTAGCTGTTATAAATTCACTGTAAACCATGGCTTCACGGAGCTTATTGCTTTTATAAAATGGTTATTCCATATACGTAGTAAGGTTTCACAAAATAAAACAGAGCAAATAAAGTGTAATGATATTAAGAACGCGGCTCAGCCAATCAGAATCAAGAACCGGAACTATCCGTTTTATAAATAATCGTCGTCATAGTTATCGTTAGTTATTGTCATAGCTATAGTTATCATCAAAGCTATCACTATAGGTATCGTCATAGTTATTGTTATAATTATCGTTATAGTTATCACTGTAGTTATCATAGCTATCACTATAGTTATCGTTATAGTTATCGTCATAGCTATTGTTACAATTATCGTTATAGTTATCACTGTAGTTATCATAACTATCACTATAGTTATCGTTATAGTTATCGTCATAGCTATTGTTACAATTATCGTTATAGTTATCACTAGTTATCATAGCTATCACTATAGTTATCGTTATAGTTATCGTCATAGCTATTGTTACAATTATCGTTATAGTTATCACTGTAGTTATCATAACTATCACTATAGGTATCGCTATAGTTATCGTCATAGCTATCGTTATAATTATCATTATAGTTATCACTATAGTTGTCATCATAGCTATCATTATATTTCTCTTCATAGTTATCGCTATAGATATAACGATAGTTATCATCATAGTTATCGCTATAGTTATCATCGTCATAGTTATCGCTATAGTTATCGCTATAGATATAACGATAGTTATTGTCGTAGTTATACTTATTGTTATAATTATCATAGCTATAGCTATAGTTAACGTCAGTTATCGTTATAATTATCATAGCTAAAGTTGTTGACATAGTTATTGTTATCATAGTTATCGCTATAGTTATTGTTATACTTATCGTTATATTTGCAGTAGTTATCGTTATAGTTGTCGTCATACTTATTGCTTTAGTTAACGTCATAGTTATTATAGTTTTGAATGAGCGTTTAGTGCATGATGTTGCGATATAACGCTGCTCTGTGTTCCTGTGCTCAGGTGAGGAGCGCGAGAAGGCCAGCGACTCGGACAACTCTGAGAGCGAGTCTGAGCGTGAGGATGAGGAGCGGCCCGCCGAGGAAGACGAGGAGGAGGACGAGGAGAGCAGCAAGAGGCGTGAGAGGAAGAGCAGCGGCAGCGAGAGCGGTGAGGACCGGCAGGCGCGAGACGAGGAGGAGATCTTCGGCAGCGACGATGACAGTGAGGATGACGAGGGTGAGCGCGCGAGGAGCAACAGCAGCAGCGTCCAGCACAGCGGCAGCGAGAGAGCGTCCGACTCCAGCGACGCCAGCGACAGCGAATGAGACGCTCAGCCCCGCCCACCAGCAGCTGCTGCACTCATGCTGTTTCCTGTTCCTGTTCAACTCTGTCCCTCTGATGCTTTCACGGTGAATCTCATGTCCAGCTCTCTCTTCACCCCGATGAAATAATATTCTGCTTGACCTGGACGTGTGAGTGTGTGAGTGTGTGAGTGTGTGAGTGTGTGTGTGAGTGTTGTGAGTGTGAGTGTGTGTGTGAGTGTGTGCGAGTGAGCGAGTGAGTGTGAGCGAGTGAGTGTGTGCGAGTGTCAGTGTGTGTGAGTGTGAGTGTGAGTGTGTGAGTGTGAGTGTGTGAGAGTGTGTGAGTGTGAGTGTGTGAGAGTGTGTGAGTGTGAGTGTGTGAGAGTGTGTGAGTGTGAGTGTGTGAGAGTGTGTGAGTGTGAGTGTGTGAGAGTGTGTGAGTGTGAGTGTGTGAGAGTGTGTGAGTGTGAGTGTGTGAGAGTGTGTGAGTGTGAGTGTGTGAGTGTGTGTGTGAGTGTGTGAGTGAGTGTGTGAGTGAGTGTGTGAGTGTGAGTGTGTGAGAGTGTGTGAGTGTGAGTGTGTGAGTGTGAGTGTGTGAGTGTGAGTGTGTGAG